TTGTTGGGATTCCCACTATGCCACATTGTGTGTCTTCATCCCAGTAGCAGTGGGGAGACCTTCATTTGGATCCAGTTACTCTCACCGACAACGTCCTTCGCAGAGAGCGTCCATTGGCATCGATCGGATGCAGATGTCCCTCCAGCTCAGCCATCTAGTGGTTGCCAGGCTAATTGCCTGGATTTGTTCCCAAGGCTGGAGGCTTATTGTCTGTAGCCAGTCAGAAGCTAATGCTCTTGGACTCCAGAGCTGTTTTATGTCATCCATGTCGCTTAACTGGTTGATCAGTGCAACGGACTCCACTTCCTCATTTGACTTGTGAAGGATCATTTAGAAAAGACAAAATTCAGCCTCCTCAGTGGTAGTTTGTCTTGGAATGTTGGTTTTGTTTTTTAAATTAAAAATTATTTTATTTATTATGGGTACATAATAGTTGTGTATCTTTATAGGGTACATGTGATATTTTGGTACAGGCATACAATGGAATTAGTCCAGTCAGGGTATTGTTGGGTATCTATTCACCTCAGTCATTTATCTTTTCTGTCTTAGGAACATTCCAATTCCACTCTTTCATTTATTTTAAAATTCTAATGTATTATTGATTATCGTCAGTTTGTTGTGTTATCAAATATGTTCATTCTGTCGTACCTATCTAACTATATTTTTTACCATTAACCATCCCACTTTATCCTCCCGACCCACTAGCCTTCCCAGCTCTGGTAAGAGATCAACCGTTTTTATTATTTAGCTCCTACATATGAGTGAGAACACGTCAGATTCGTCTTTCTGTGCTTGGCTTATTTCACTTACCGTTCTCCAGTTCCGCTGGAATGTTGGTTTCAGTTACTGCAGGTCACACCTCCACTGCCTCCTCACCACATGAAAAGACCTAAAAGTGACAGGGATGGCCACTGTTGGAAACGTGACCTTGGTGCGCTGGAGGACTGGAGTTCATGTCCATCCTGTGTGAGGCCATCCTTGAAATGAGAAAGTTTTCCACTCTAAGCCATCATTAGGGTTGTCTTCACTAAGACAACATCTCTCCATGATCTTGGAAATGGAATATTTGAAAGATAGAGAGCTGTTGTTAACCTCACTCTCACCATGTGACAGCTCTAGGAAAGCAAAGGCTAAAGGAAGAGTCAGGGTTTTGCTCTGTCATGCAGGCTGGTGTATAGTGGCATGATCATAGCTCACTGTAACTTCAAACTCCTGGGTTCGAGCAATCTTCTCACGTTAGCCTTTTGTGTAGCTAGGAGTTCAGGCACGCACCACCATACCTGGCTAATTTAAAAAAAAAATTTTTTTGTGGAGACTGGGGCATGCTATATGGCCCAGGCTCATCTCAAACTCCTGGCCTCAAGTGATGCTCCTGCCTTCCAAAGTGCTGGGATTATAGGCATGAGCCACTGTGCCTGGCCAGTTTTCTCCTTATTGACATGCACTGGAGCCCCTGTGAGCTCTTGGACACATGACTGGCCCATCACTTTTTTTTTTTTTTTTTTTTTCAAGACAGAGTCTCACTCTGTTGCCCAGGCTAGAGTGAGTGCCATGGTGTCAGCCTAGCTCACAGCAACCTCAAACTCCTGGGCTCAAGCAGTCCTTGTGCCTCAGCCTCCCGAGTAGCTGGGACTACAGGTATGAGCCACCATACCCGGCTAATTTTTTCTATATATATTTTTAGTTGTCCAGATAATTTCTTTCTAATTTTAGTAGAGATGGGGCCTCCTTCTTGCACAGGCTGGTTTCAAACTCCTGACCTTGAGCAATTGCCTGCCTCGGCCTCCCAGAGTGCTAGGATTATAGGTGTGAGCCACTGTGCCTGTCCATGGCCCATCACTTTTTACTAGACATAGGCCTGAGGCATTTGCAAGAGTGTTTTTACTTTGTCCTGAGCTGTCACATCTTCTGGGGCCACCAGAAATTCTTGATTTCTTTTATACATGGCTGGACAGACTTCTCTCATGTAGTTTTTCTGGGAGTACATCTCACTAAGCCTAGTGGGCCTTGTAGTCCACATTACTCATTGGAGAGAAAAGAGCATCTGCATCCATTCTTTGCCTATCCCCCCCAAATGGCCATCCAAAGGAAAGTGACTACGTGCTTACTGGCAGATATCTGCCCCCAGTTTAACCCCAATTTGGCTTGGGCTGATCAGCAAGAAGTCTTTGATAATGGCCACTCCAAAACTATCAGCCTGATCTACCATGGAGAAGTGGGAGGTTTAGCTGAGGATGATGCAGAAAATGTAGGGCGCCCGGTCGAGGCCAATTGCCGCCTCCCCATAGTTCTGCATCTCCGGGGGCCAGTGCTGCGCATGGCCAGTTAGAGGCACGCTGCTAGGGCCGAACCCCGCAGTGCCCAGCCGCCCCGGACACCCAAGGGTGGGAATGCACCTGGCCCTTGCGCTGCGGCCTGTTTCCGGCCACGCTGCTTATGTGATCCTGATTGGGTAATTTTTGAATCCCATTGTTTTTGGTTGGATGTTAAGGCTTGTTGTTGATTGGATGTTAAAGCTTGTAGTTGATTGGACGCTTCTTGAGCCTGACCAAGGGTATAAAAGCAGGGGCAGAAGAGCAGGAAGGGGAAAACATCGAGGGAACATTGGAAGACATCTGTAACACTAGGTGTGCTGAGCCTGCTGTAGGAGAATAAAGGCTGTTCTCTGACTCTTCATGTGCCGCTCGGTTCTTTCCCCGGTCAAACGAATAAGAGCTGTGACAAGGCCTGTAACACTTGCTGTACACACTGCCGCAACAAGGACTTCTCCCTTTAGTCAATACTAATTGATGTCCATCTATACCAGGGGATGTGTTTGAATTGATATTCTCCCCCCATGCCAGGTCTACTTAGGTTTTACCTGCTGCGCAGGGCCACAGGTGAGTGAGGTGTATCTGTACAGTCTGAACCACCTCCCTGGTGGCACCTCCCATTCCACATCTCCTACTTATCCCTGGAAACAGGTATTTTTACGCTGGTTTGGGTGTTAGGTAACTTTTAACACCAGTTTGGAGATGACCCCATTTCCAGCTCATCTTTTGATGCTGAGTTACTGACTTGATCAGGGTGGAGTCAGGAGACAAACCACGTCAGTAATTTGAACTGGAAACTTTTCAGAGTTGCTTAGCAGTAATGAGTTGTTAACTCTTGAAGAGTTTGAACAAGGAGTGTAAGCAGTTCACTAGCAGCGATTTCAGAAAACAGCTGCTGATCCACACCAAGGGTGCTGGCCCACGAAGGAACTAGGGGCTCGGGAGAGGGACCCCACAGAAGGCTGGGATTCGGGCTTTTCCAAGAGAGCTCGGCTTTGGAGGAATATGCAGCCTTCCGGAGGCCAAGAGACTTGCCAGGGAGTGAGCCAGAGCTGGTCGCAGAAGGGCTTATCATTGCTGGAGGGTGTGGGCGGGCCAGAGCAGGCTGCAGGAGCAGCCCTGGGGTGGGGAGGCCTTGGCTGAGCATGCGTAGGAGCTGCCCCGTGGAAGCGGCAGCCTGGGGATGTGTCTGAATTAGTGATCTTTTCCTCCATTGCCCTTTAAGGGATGTGAAAAATGGAGTCCTGGGCTGAATGGATGCCTTCTCTAAGAGTACGCCATGGAAAGGGGGGGAACCTTTGTTAATTAGCAACCTGTTGCTGCCACACAGGGTCTTGGTGGCCAAGGGCTAAGTGTGATGGTTTTGCTGTTGCAAACCTATCCTGCCATAGGTTGGGCTATTGAAGCCACTGCGATTTGGGAGGCAAGGGCTGCACATGGACTCAGAGGGAAGTCTAGCAAAGGGAGGCCCTGAGATGTGGGTTCCAATTCCAGGACCCAAGAGGGTACTCCTCAGGAACAAATGCTGAGTAAGTCTAGTTCTAGGAGTGCTGTGGCGACTGCTTTGGGTGCCCTTGTGATAACTCTCACCCAAGGGGCAGGGAGTGGCAATTACTGCTCCATAAGGCCACTGCTTATTCCAACGCCAGGATCCAAGCCACTGCTTCCCAGCCCCCACGTGGAGGGAGATCCATGGGGTCCTCCATAGGCACACGGAGGGCTCTGAGCCTTGGCAGGACACCATGGGCCCCAGGGCTGGTCAGGAGGGAGGAGAGAAAGTCCTGGGAGGGTGGGGGTGGTGGAAGGGGGTATGCTTCTTACTCGTGTGCCACCGGGTGTCGCTGTCTACTTGTACAGAAGCACAGGGAGGCCACTGTGCCCAGACCAGAGAATTAAGGAACAGGGAGTTGCAGAGAATTAAGGAACAGGGAGTTGCAGAGAGCGCAGTCAGTGGTGCGCTGGAGCCTGTTCGCGGCAGCTCAGGAGAGCCCACGATCCCGGGCGCCTCTTCCCTGGGACACCTTGGTAGCTTGACAAGCCACGGTGGGAGTATCCACACCGTGGAAATAGAGAGATGCTACAAATTCAGGCTCCCCCACTCTGTGCTGGCTGTTAGACATTTGCCAGCACTCCCTGGGCATAGTGACCATTTGGTGATACTGACTGGGACACTGAGGCTCAGGCAGTTTATTGAATTGGAGCTGGAAAAGAACCCCGCGTGTGTGAAGCACTGTGTTAGAGAAAACAGGAGAGAACAAGTCCCTTTCTTTCCTCTGCACCGCAGGGTAGCTGCAGTGGAGGGCTGAGCTGGCATCTGGCCCGCCTGTGCCGCTGGCCTTGTTATTTGAGAGCTACAAAGGAGGGTTTAAACAAACTTAAAAAAAAAAAAAACCAGCAGGTGCTTGAATAACATTGTTTCGTTCAACAGAATTCCATTATGTTTTTTGTTTTCTTTTTTTCTGTTTTTGTTTTTTGTTTGTTTTGTTTTTTTCTTCAGACAGGGTCTTGCTCTGCCACCCTGGGTAGAGTGCGGTGGCATCATCATAGCTCACAGCAACCTCAAACTCCTGGGCTTAAGCGATCCTCCTGCCTCCATCTCCCTAGTAGCTGGGAGTACAGGCATGCGCCAGTTGTGCCCAGCTAATTTTTCTATTTTTTGTAGAGATGGGGGTCTCACTCTTGCTCAGGCTGGTCTCCAACTCCTGAGCTCAAGGGATCCTCCTACCTCAGCCTCCCTGGGTGCTAGGATTACAGTGTAAACACTTATTTGGAAGAACATTGTTCCTGGGTGTGCCCCACTATAGCCAGCAGGTCTGACCTGTGGCCTGATAGCTCAGGTCTCAGTTTCTTACTCAGCCCTGTGAAATCCACCCTCCTTTGGAGGTAAGCAAGGCCTTAGCTATCCTTGGGAAAGCCCTGGAGGTGGAAATTTGGGTATTTCCTCCTAATCTTAGTCTGTTTGCACAGAGACCTCTTTTCTCTGTGTAGTCAGGGTGCTTTCCCCACATCCCATGGCCTCGGGTACATTTCCATAGTCCTTGTCCTGAATGTTGTCCAGCCTGTCCATTGCCTTCATGACTAGTGTCTGTTTGGCCAAAGCCATCTGTCATTTGAGCCTGCCCTGTGTTTTAAGGGCATGAGTTCAGAAGGTTCACTACTGATTAAGGCCCAGCTCGGTTAAGAGGGCTTGTGCTGTGCCCTCATTCAGATGGACATTCTCACGATCGTGGCTGTGTGATCACGGGTAGTCAGTCAGGTGGGAACTTTGCAGTTCACGTGTGCAAACCCAGTGGGCTCACTGTGGTGTGAGAGGTGCCCTACATTGTACGGGTCCTCTGCTGCTGCCGGCTGAACCTGGGGCTGACTCCCTGCTTGTGGATCAGCGGAAGTCAGTTCGTTTCTTCTGCTGATGTGCAACGCTCCGAGGTAACTGGCCGCCTGTGGAAGGGTGCCGGGAAGCCAGCCCGAGCACTGCGGGTCTAGCGAGCACAGAACCGCAGCCTCTCTTCTGGTGGCATACTGTGGGCCACTGGCACACGCACAACCCCATGTGTGAGGAGCTGGGGACAAGGCAATGGCTGTATGTCTGAGTGACACACCTCACTTGGATTTCTGTTTTGACTCGAGCCAAAATACCACCAACAGCTGCAGGGCAAATACGCTCATGGTTTTTTCACCTTGTCCTGTCTTCCAGGCCAGCCTGAAAGCTGACTGTATAAATCAGCCCTTTGCACAGTCTTGTGCCCAGCGGTGGCAAGACTTGGGCAAAGCCATTGAGGATTTCCCAGCAAAGGCACAGGTCTGCTGGGGTCTCTCTGGGCATGTCTTTCCTGGAAAACTATCGTAGTTACCGATTCCCTCCTCTGAGGCACAGAGGCCTGACCTCCGTGATATCATGATTCATATTTACGGACACGTTTAATTACCAGCGGTTCTGGACCGCAGGTGCTTCTGTCCCTCAGGGCCACTTGGCAATGCCTGAGACATTTTTGGTTGTCACCACTGGGGGCAGATGGGACATATGCCCTGGCCTCTAGTGGGCAGAGGCCAAGGATGCTGGAAACATCTGCAGTGCACAGGCCAGCCCCCTGCAACAAAGAAATATCCAGCCCAAAATGTCAATAGCGCCAAGGTTGAGAGGCCCTGTTGCAAAAACTGAAAATATGTGTTTAAGTCACACTCGGAATAGTCGCAGCCCAGGAAGTTGGCCAGGACAAAGAGTTAATCTCGAATGGCAGCCGGCCAGTTATGTTTCAGGGCTTTCAATCTTTAGATCACAAGTTTCTGACATTTGGAAAAGTCTTTTAATCACAGGCTGACTTGTTTAACTTAACTAATATATATTATTCTAGCAATTTGTTCCTAGATTAGTTTGGCCCCCAGGACGGGAGACAACCTCCACTGCCCGAGAAGAGTCGAGAGCTCTGGGGGGACAGTGTGAGTTTGACAGCTCTGCACCCAGGTGTCTGGTGGCTCCAATCACCCTCCTCAGCAGCTCGTTTCCCGCTTGGGGAGAAGCGGCACGGCGGTGCCCAGCACAGCACAGGGGCCCGTCCTCCTGCACAGCCCAGGCACCTCCTGGAGCACCCACGCTGACCTCACCCCGCAGCAGTGCGGCCGTGTGGGGACTTCCCTTTGCTCCAAGGGCTTCCTCAGTGGATCATGCGAGGATATGAACAATGAGTCTGTAGCTCGGCTTTTCAAAGTCTTTCTACACGTGCATAGTCCAGGGCTTTGCTGTCCGTGTCTTTTCAGGATCCGGGGCTCCCACACTCAGCGACTCTCTCCTTTCTGCAGGCACCCCTCACTTCCCAACCCCTCTGTCAGCCTCAGACTTTAAGCTCTGGCTCCTCAAGTGACACAGGTTAGGCACACAGTGAGGAGGGACCCCGGCCCTCAGCTGTCTCTGTCTCTTTCAGCTTCCTGCTTCCAGGCTGCTCGGACTCCTCCTCCCACGGTGCTGGGCTCAGGAGCATCATCATCTGCAGCAGGACGAGCAGCAACACAGAGACGGTCAGTCTGGCCTGGGGACAAAGCCTGGCAGGAGCCCTACAAACATGTGACCTTGGAGTTACGGTCTCACCAGATGAGAGATGGAACTTCTGGCCCCAAGTCTGGCAAGAAACAGTCCCTGAGGGTTTCCTGGACCCTGTCCTAAGAGGAGGCTGACCCTGACCACGATGGCCAGACATGGGGCAGGCTTGACACAGTGCTCAGATGCTGGAAGAGTAGACACTCCGCCTACCCTGTGCGCTCTGTGTGCCCATCACTTTCTTGCCACTGTCTGTGTCCAACATCACCTCAGATGACTCCGCTCTTGTCGCTTATCTCTGCTGCCACCACCTGAGGACCTGCCAAGGATCTGCAGCTTTGAGGAGGACTGAGCCATTCCTGACAGCGTGTCCTCAGCCTGGTCACCTCTGCACAGGGAGGAACTTCATCCTCAGGGTGCAGAACCCTTCAGGATAAGCAGTAGAAGGGTGACAGGGAGGCTAACACCAGCTGTGCCCAGCTCAGGAGTTAAGGGCCCAGCGGCTGGTGGCCGTGGGGCTGGGCTCTGGGCTTCTAGTCACATCCTCCAGTAGCCTGGAGCCCGGCTCCCAGAACACAGCTAGGCAGGGGGTCCACTCCAGGTTCTGGCAGCTTCTCCTTGACCTCAGTGCAGATGCTGGGGAGTGGTGGGCTCTTCCCGCATCCCCAGAGACACAACAGGCAGGCCCGGCGCAGCCCTCTGGAAGCCAGGATCGCCAGCGGGCTTCTCCCAGCTGAAAGAGCCGAGGGCAGCGGGTGAGGGCAGGACCCGGCCTGCTCAGACACTGGGGCACGCGGGGCCTTTCTGCACCTGAGAGCTGCCTTTGGAAACCCAAGCAGGCAGAACAGCGTGGCCCCCGAGGCCTCTGCAGTAACAGTGGAGTCCCGCATGGGCCACACGCAGGGCAGAGGGGAAGGTGGGACGGGGAAGCACTCACGGCTCTGAACGACGCATCCAGGGGCCAGTGGCCGAAGCAGTGCTGCAGGAAGAGGTAGAGCTTCTGCTGGACAAACCTCGGGACAGCAGCCCTGCAGGGGAGGGGGGTCACCTGCTGCTCACCCAGCACCTCTGTTAGCGAGGCGAGGCTCTGCCGCTGGAGAGCGCTGGGCACCCCTGGAGCTAGACCCACTCTTCAGAGAGGAAACCAACATTAGAGAGGGTAAGGAAAGTCCCAAGGACACACAGCACGAAGGTGGCCAAGCCAGTATGGCTCCTGTGTGCACCTGACCTCAGCCCTACACAAGTCACCCGCTCGGCAGGCCCCAGTCAGGCCAGGAGTCAGGCCTGGGTCCCTGCCCTTCTCCTGACGGATGGGGGGTGGGGAGCAGATTGCCATAGTGCCGAGCTCCCACTTCTGCTGCCCCTGTGGATGAAGGGACAAGAGAGCAGCAGGATGGGGCCCCTCTCTGGCCAACGTGGCTCTTTGCACTGCAGAGGGCAGGGCTGCAGGGAAGGCCTGGGGAGCAGCTGCAGCCAGGGGCCAGCAGCTGGGGGGCGAGGAGACAGGCTTGAGAGGGGTCAGGGCTGCGCAGCCCCAGCCCTGCAGCGCCTTGCCGTGCCCCGTGTCCTGGGCAGAGGGGCTGTGCGTGACACCTGGCCAGGGGGAGGGTGACGGCAGCAGCCAGAAGCCACAGGAGCCAGCCCATGGCCTGCACCCACTGTGTGAATTCCTCCAGGGGGCGGCGGCCTGGGAGCGGCCAGAGGGAGAAGCCTGCTCCGGCTTCAGGCTGCTGGCAAAGGCGAGCAGACACTCCAGCAGCAGGCGCTGCCCCGGCACGCACTCCTCGGTGGGCGCGAACGAGCCCTACGGTAGAGGTGGAGGAGGCCCAGGGAGCTCTGCAACATCCACATTGCTCAGCCCCCAGTCCAACCACATGCGCCCCTGGGCTGCTCACTCTGCTCCTGACAGAGGCACCAGCCAGGCTGGGAGTGGGGCCAGTCCCCGGGGCACCAGCGTGCCTGGCACCCAGCAGTCGCGCTGCTTGGTCTGAACTGAGACCAGCGCCCCGGGGTTGGGCGGAGTGCTTGGCCTGGGTCTGCAAGACTCACCCAGCCCCGGCACGGGCCACTGCCCACAGCACTGTCAACTCAGGTCTCCCCGCCATGAAAACACCTGCACACATGCCGGTGACAGCCCACAGGTCAGGGGCTAAGTCTGAGGATGGAACTACAGGGTGGGAGGCAGTTTCTTCTGCTTGTCTGTATCTACGTGTTTGTGCGATGAATCTGCACGATTCTGAAGGAAGGAGAATAGCAGGGGACACAACACCCCCCAGCACTAACAGACTAGGGGAGCAGAGGGGCGCCAGTGCCAGGCGGTGAGGCTCCAGCAGGAGCCTTCTCCTGCTCTGGTCCCGATCCTGGTCCTTCCATCCCACCCGGCCTGGGATCCTCACCCATGGTATCGTCCCTGCGGCTAAGAGGAGGGGACAGCACCCACACGGGAACCGGGAACCCACCTTCCCCGGCTTGAGCGAGCACCTGCTTCCGGGCCGTCCTGCAGAGTCTGGGCCCGACTCTTGCTGCGCCCCGCCCAGCCACAGGAACCCTGCAGGATATTTTCCCACAGGTTTCCAGGCTGCACTGGCTCTTCCAACTCTGCACCCCTCCTGGGCCACGTTCCCAGCAGGGACCCGGGCCACAGTGCCACTTGGCCTCCACCCGCTCACTTCCTGAGGAAGCGTCCACAAAGCTCTTGCATTTCCCACGAGCCACAGCCTCCCTCGCCACCTCTCCCGACATGGGGTGAACAGAGCCAGACGCTTCACCAGGACACTGCTCCTCCCTCCTGGCCCTCGGCCCTCTGCAGCTGCTCCTGCAGAGCAGGAACCCCGCTGCGTGCTGCAGTGGCCGGCCCTCCCCACAGGCACTCGTGGGACAGACAGAGGGGGGGGACGCGATCCTGGGTGGACACCTTCACGGCCCTGCAGAGAGACGGAGGGAGGCTCGTGGGCAGCCCTTGAGCATAAGAGCCTTGGCTGAGGGTCTCTCCCATCATCCTCACAAAAACCTACAAATGGCAAGGCCAGCAGCTGGGCGCGTTTCTGAGCCCCATCTCCTTTGCCTCTCGTCCCCGGAGCAAGGCGCTGGCAATTTGCCCCTGGAATGGGGGAGACTCAGAAGAGCAAAGCACCTGGTCACATGTCCCCACGTGACTCTCAGTCAGGAGCACACCAGGCAGCGTGGCAGCTTCTCTGGCAGAGCTTGGATTGGTCTTTAAAGGGTCAGTAGCCGTTACAGTTCTAATTATCAGTGCCTCCCGGACCCTGAACAGCCACTGTGGCAAGTAGATGGCACATGCCTGACTAATTTTTCAAAATTTTTGAGTAGAGACGGGGTCTCGCTATGTTGCCCAGGCTGGACTTAAACTCCTGCAGTGATACAGTCCTCCTGCCTCGGCCTCTCAAAGTACTAGGATTACAGGTGCGAGACACCACACCCAGCCCGGGATTTGTTCTTCATTTTAAGAAACAGACTGATTTAAAAATGGGGTCCCCATGAGGAAGCAACCAGCCCTGCTCAGCTGACAAACCTACCTCTCCAGGGCCTAAAAATTGCATGGCGACCCCGAGCCCCACGAGGTCCACGCAGGCCTGTAGCGGAGGTTCCAGCCAATGAGGATGCCATCCAGGCTGCGGAACATGCGCTGCACCAGCCACGGGGAGATGGCGTGTGATGCTGAGGCAGGGAGGGTGTGGACAGGGGCCGAGGACAGTGCCCACTCCTGCCCCGGCTCCAGTCCTGCACTCTGCACTGCCCGCTCCGAGGAGGTCACACCGTGGTGGAGACCCCGAGGGGCAGCACCTTGTCCTGTAGATGAGGAAACCAGAGCTCAGAGGGTGCAGACACCCGAGGTCCCGCAGTAACAGGGAGGCAAAGTCAAGCGGAAGGGGTCTAACGCCCACTCTGCCACCGATTCCACCACACGCCCCTCAAAGCCACCACCACACAGTTCTTCCAGCCAGTGGAGACAGCTGGCCAGGCCCTCAGCCACGCAGCGGTCTCACATGACACTCAGACGGGCAGTCGATAC